CAACTTAAAGAAGTTTAAGGACCATCTAAGAAACAATATTAGGAAAGTGATCAAGAGGATTACCTTAAGTTTATTTATATCTTGATATAGACAAAGGGGAAATTTTAAAGGTTTTTTTTTTTTTGAGAATTCTGGGTGATTGGATCATCTTTGTTACCTATTTATAGCATCCCCCTCATTAAGAAAACTCCTGGAAAATATTCAAAACTAGGAAAAAAAAGGTTTAAGTTATTTCTGGGTTAACCAGGAAGGGCAAATGTTGCATTCTTCTCTAAAGTCATTTTTGATGTTCAAGATATTTAATTAAATAGATGTATGCAAGTGAAACAGAGAGAGATGAGTCCGTCAAACCTACAGAACTTCAGGGAAAAAAAAACAAAAATATATATCAAGGACCTCAACTTCTATCTGAAAAAGGGAGGAAGATAAGAATCAAGTCCAAGGCAAGCAAAAAGAAATAACAAAGATGAGAGAAGAAATCAATGAAATATAAAATAGGGGGGGAAAAGCCAAAAAAGAGAAAACCAATGAAACCCAAAACTGGTTCTTTGAGAAGTTCGAACTGATAAACCTCTGCAAAGACCCCAGGCATACGAGAGAGAGAGAGAGAGAGAGAGAGAGAGAGAGAGAGAGAGAGAAAGGAAAAAGGAAGAAGGAGAAGGAAGAAGGAGGAGGAGGAGGAGGAGAAGAAAAGAAGAGGAAGGAGAAGGAGAAGAAGGAGAAGGAAGGGGAGGAGGAGGGGGAGGGGAAGGGGGAGAAGGAGGAAGAGGGGTAGGAAAAGGAGGAGAAGAGGAAGAGACAGAGGACAGAAGATGGGGGAGGGGGAGATGGAGAGAAAGGGAGAGGGAGAGGGATGAGACAAATTCCCAAAATCAGAAATGAGAGAGGTGATATCGGTACAGATTCTACGGGTATTAAAAGGATAGTAAAGGAATATTATGAACAGCTGTTTGTTGATAAATGCAATTAAACAACTTAGATGAACTACAGAAGTTTACCAACATTAATTCAAGAAAAAATGAATAATCTTACCTGCCCTGTACCTATTAATAGAATTGTTTATAGTTAAAATCCTTCCCACAAAAACAAACAAACAATCCTCTAGGCTCAGAAGACTTCGTTAGTAAATCAAATTTTCAAGTGAAAATAATATTAATTCTGCCCTAAGTCTTGCAGAAAATTAAGGAAGATGAAACACTTCTCAACTCATTCCATGAGGACAGAATTACCCTGATACCCAAACCATAAAGGGAGAGATTGGAAAAGAAAACTACAGAACAATTTTCCTCATGAATATAGATGAAAAATTTCCTAACAAAAACTTAGCAAATCAAATCCAACATTATACAAAGAATACATCATGACCAAATGGGTTTTATCCAGGATTGCAAGGTTAGTTTAACATTTGAAAATAAATCAGTGTAACTCAGCATAATGAGAAACTACAAAAGAAAATTAATATGATTATTTCATGTTGTTTTCTAAAATAATTTAAAATCCAACATCTACTATGATCAAAAACTGTCAGGAAACTAGGAATAGAATGGAACTTTCTCAGCCTGATAAAGAACGTCTATGAAACTTCACAACTAACATTTTGTTTAATGGGTAAAGTCCAAATGTTTTCTCTCTAAAATCAGAAGGTAAAGAAGTCCTCTCTCACCACTTTTATCCATCATTTTACTGGAGGTTCTAGCTAGTGCAAAAAATCAGGAAAAAAAATAAAAGAATTCATATTGTTACTGAGTCCAAGCTAGTACTGCTCCCTGCACCACAGGCCAATAAATCAAAAGAAAAGTTGTTGGGAAAAGGAATAGTGACTTTATTTGGAAAGCCAGCAGACCAAGAAAATGGTGGACTAGTGTCTCAGAGAACATAATATTAATTAACTATAAATCAATTGTTCAACATAACTTCCTTCTACAGTAAACACAACTATTCATATAATTCAGTGTTGAATACTTGTTTTGAATGTAATTTTATAGTTTTCTATTCTAAAACAATATATTTTTATAGAAACAGCTATACATTTGAGAGTACTAATATATCATGTACTAGTATACATGGGGCAGAAGGACCTTTCTTGCTTACTCTGTTCTCATTATGTGCCACGGTTAATGTTTTCTGATAAGACTATTGAATATACAGTAAACAATGAGATTTTGATTAACTCATTCATTTTTAATCAGTTTCTTCTGCTTTTTGTTGAGTGCAGTATAGCCCTAGCAAAACAGACCACCTTTCTGTCTGTTCTTTCTCTTTTCTCCCCTTCCTTTTCTAGACAGAATGAGTGATGTAGAGACTTGTACAATTTTATGCCATATTTTATATTTTAAAAATAACTTTTATATGACGAAAAGGTTGATGGCTGAACTTTACCACCCAGTATGTTGGCTTTGAGGCTCATTAAAATCTGGTGGTTTCTGAATTAACTTGTGAGTCCCTACAGTGATGGAAATTGCTTCTTTCCAGTATTATTGACTGACAGAGCAGGTGAGAACTTGTTTGCATCCTTTGAACAAGTTCATTAGTTTCCTATAATGGCTGTTACAGGTAAACACTCTACTATTTAATTAGTAGACTCTCTTTGGTGAGCTTATAACAATTACAAGACCTTTTTTCTTCCGTTTGTGTTCAGGACACACATTTTTTTATGGCCAATCTGACTCATGTTCAGTCAATAATCGTATGCCTGACAGCTACCATTAATAACTATTAAAAAAATAAAGCAACTGCCTATTTTTTTTTCATGATCTAAAAATAATATTCCATCAATCTTCAAGGTTAACTGCCTGGGCTGCAAAAGTTTTAAGCTTCTTCAATCCAAGTCTTCAAGTTGATACCACTTTCTCTGAATCTTACATGCCATTGCCTAATAAATTGAAGCAACATGTGTTGAAAATCTCTACTGAACACATACATGTGTTCCACTGACAAAAACCTGGTACTAGTGGACATTCGATTTTAACATATGTTGAATACCTGCTATCAGCTTGTCCCAAGAGATACTAAAGAGACAGTCTCTGACTTAAAATAATTCCCAGTGTAGTGGAGGAAATAGATAGGCATTCAACCATAGTACATTTTTAAAATTTCAAAATTAGTGTGATGAGACTCAGAGGAGTGAGGCTCAGAGTGATATGGTACATTGGTTGGTGAGACTTTAAAGTAGTTCTTGTCTACTGCTTATAAAAGGAAGGATGTCAACGAAAGAGCCTCCCAGCATTGAAAAGGGAGACTGAAGAAAGAAGATGGCAGTATTTAAAAGCAGTGCTTTGTATGAACCTCTAGTAAGATGGAGAAATATCTAAAGAGGATTTTAAGATAGTTTTACTTCATGATGCTTCCTCCTAAAAAAATAAATATCTAAATTATATTTTAAGGCTTCTTGTGTTGGACTTGTATCTCTTTTGAATGTTTCCTATGCTCAGATTGGCCACTTTAGACTTAGCTCTAATTGGTGTTCATTTTAGGGAACACCATATTGGATTTTAGACATAAGGGAAAGACTCAGTGACATTTTAAGTAAAATCATTACCCTAGAAACTGAGCTTGAAGCACACCTTTGCAATGGCCACTCAAATGTTGGAATTACAGTGCAAGGGGTTGGGTATTAACAGGATAAGAGGTGTAGTTAGTATTTGAAATAACCCAAACCAATGGAAATGACATAGGATTCCCTGGGATTAGAATTATAATATTGGAAGAATTTTCTCTTCAAGACTTGGTTGTCCTAGAGGCAGAACTAAATTTATTCAGAATTGTATCAACTCACTAAATTAAGGGAGCCTAAGAAATTTATTTGTAAAGTTGTAAGTTGAAACGTGTTTTTTATCCAATAATATTAGACACATTTCCTAGGAAATCAGGTCTTCCTGAACAAAGAGTAAAGGGCAGTGTTTCAGCTGAAGAGTTTTACTTGCTCAGCCATCAGTGCGTGAATCCTCAGGAAATGGCAACTCCTGGGAAATTCTAAGGCAAGCATGATTTGGAATTACTGGTATAGGTTGTTTGCTTGTGGAGAGAAACAAGACTGTGCTAAAGACCTCTAAAGCAGGGATCTCAAACTCAACACCAACATTGGCCAGTGTCAGTTAACGTAGCAGGCAGGTGTTTCAAAAGACGGAACTGGAGAGCACAGGCCCTGTCCCTCCAAAGTGTTCAGCCACTATTTGGGTCTAGTGGATTTTACTGCCATATTGGAGCTGGGACCTAATTGTTGCCACATCCTCCAAATTTTAAAGAGCAGCTAAAATCCATCATTTTAAAAGTATTAAATCTCCAATTTTAAAATATATAAAGAGATTTATATATAAATATTTAAATATAAAAGTATTTAAACAAGTGAAGAATGTGATCTGTTTTTAGCATATTATTGATTATCATTATTAGGACCAACAGAAGACATCTGAAGACCAAATCTTGCAGACCATTAGTATATGCAGTCTATCCTCACTGTTTGTGGAAATATTCCATAAATTTCATAGTTGATAATTCATTTACTGGCTAAAATTTATTTGTAACCTAAAATAAATACTGCAACACTTTCATGGTCATTTGTGAACATGCACAGAGTGGTGAAAACTTTGAGATGCTAGATGTATGCATCTGACAGGGCAATACTCTGCCTTCATGCACACCTCTTCCCTCTTTTGAGCTGAGTCCTCTTCAGAGCCCAGTTTTCCTGTTGTTTCAGTGTCCATAGTGGCTACCCTTTTTGGGAACATCTAAACAAGTGCTCCCACTGTTGACCTTGTTATACTTCACACAACACATGGGATTTTCCTGGGACTATGAACTGGGTCAGTTAACTCTGCAGTGCTTCTCATCTTGTCATGTTATGCTAGCAATAATTATTATTATTTAAGTTCTGCAATGAATTCAGTTATAGTTGTCTTTATTTTTTCTACAAATTAAAAAAAAAACATTTTATTTTTGGTAGCACCACACGGCATGTGGGATCTTAGTTCCCCAACCAGGGATCCAACTTATGCCCCCTGCAGTGGAAGCATGGAGTCTTAACAACTGGACTGCCAGGGAAGTCCCTATAGTTGTCTTTATACTATGTACTTACTCCACTGCTATCTTCTTCCCATTTATATTTCTATTTTACTATGGCCTCTGTGATGAGAAAACCATTATAAATAAATACACTTATTTTCTTAGTCCTCCTCTGTCCTTTTAACCCTTTGGCAGAAAGGAAATCCAATGCTCCCCCAAGGTACAATCTCCTAGGGAGCCAGCACTCCTGAGTTCTGGTTTATTATTTCTCCCCATACTCTATGTACCACCAAGAGGCAGCCATTCTCCTAGCACTCCATCGTTGCTCTTAGGTTCTATACGTTCTTCTGTGTGCAAAATCTTATCCTCTTATGAGGCCCATGCCATGCGCCATACTTCCATCTTCCACTGTTTTTGTCGTCTTCTGATTTAATGGCTACTTTCATAAATCATAGAGGCTTTTGGCCTTTGCTTCTTTGTCTTCCTTCTTCTAACCACTGTTCTCTTTTTCTCTACTCCATGTCCTCCATATATCCTGGGATATTTTAAAGTCCACGTGGAAGATCCTTCTAATGCTATAACTTCAACATTTTGTGACCTCCTCAATATATGCTATGGTGTCCTGTTTAAGAAATCCATTTCTTTCCCAAGGTCATAGCATTTTTTCTTCTATTATAATATTTTATAATTTTGCCTTTCATATTTAGATCTTCATTACACTAGAATTAAATTTTATCTATTTTGAGAGGTAGGAGTCTAATTTCATATTTCTCTATAGGTAGATTCCTAATTGCTGCTCCATTTATTGAAAAATAGATCTTTCCCCAAAGATCTGAAATTCCAGCTCTGTGATAAAGCACATTCCACTGACTATGGGTAAGTCTGTTTCTTGGATCTTTGTTTTATCCCATTGTTTATGCATATCTATGCTTGTATTAACACCACACTGTGTTAGTTATCATAGCGTATGGCACAGCATTATGTTGAGATCTGTTAAGACAATTCTCACTACCTTGTTATTTAACAAACTTTAAAAAAAAATTAGGCCCTTTGCTCTACCATATCAATTTAAAAATCAGCTTTCCAGACTTCATAAACAACATGTTGAGATCTGTTGAGATTTTACTGGAATGGCATTGAAACTGTAGATCAGTTTGGGGAGAGTTGACATCTTTATTATGCTGAGACTCTCAGTCTGTAAACATGGTATAGCTCTCCATTTAGGTTCTCTTAAATGCCTATCAATAAAGAGATTGGGATTGACATATATACACTAATATGTATAAATAGATAACTGATAAGAACTTGCTGTATAAAAAGCAAAGTAAATAAAATTCAAAAAAATTGTACTCTAATGTCTTTAATGTGATGTCTGAGTTATATTCCTCTTATATCTTAATAATTTTTTATTGTTCTGCCTTTTCTCTCTCTCTTTCTCCCTCTTTCAAGACTTGCCAGAGATTTGTCAATTTTTTTTCTTTTTCTTTTTTCTTTTTTGGTCTTTTTATAGAATTGACATTTTGCTTTGGTAATTTTATTTATTCTATGTTTGTTTTCTGTTAATCTAATAAAGAGTGCAGAATACAGCATACACAGGACGTTCGTATCTTTACTTGCATTTTTATTTTTTTTATCGATGTACTTTCAAAGAGCAAATTTTTTAAAATTTAGATTCAGTTCATGTTCCCAATTATTTTGAAGGTTTTGCTTCTTTTTACCTAGCTAAGGAACCTTTGCTTGCTCCAAGACTGAAGTATTTTCTCCTAGGTATTCTAAAAGTTTTGGAGTTTTAGCTTGTATGTTTAATGTATGTATAATGCATTGTGATTTAATTTTCTTATACAGTGTAAGATAAGAGTCAAGTTTAATTATTTTTTTCTATATGGATCATGTGTTATTCAGGGACTGTGTGGTACAAGTACTATCATTTCCCAATGCACAATTTCTAGTTTCTTTAGAGTGTTCATTGATTTAGATACTTATCTTCATAGCAATACTGTACAGTATTGATTGCTATAATTTTAAATTAAATTTTGAAGTCAGGATCTAACTTTGTTCCTCTTTTTCAAAGTTTATTTACCTATTTTATGTTCTTTGCATTTCAATTTAAATTTTAGAATTAGCTTGTTAATCTCTATGAAAAGCTTCATGAAGTTTCGATTGGAATTGTGTGAAATCTATAGATCAATTTGGGGAAAATTGTATAAGAGTGGAATTATTCATGATGCTTTTCCTATTATGCCTATTCCTGTAAATCATTAAATGTATTTAATATTACTGTTTTAAATTCCTGGTATTTGTTCTGTGTGCACAGATAATACACAAATTCCTTATATTTGGGCCTTGTGCTGTGTTTGCTACAGGGCTTGGTGAAAGCTACCGTGTTCGCTACTGGGCGTTGTTAGAGAGTGAATGCTTAACTGTGGAACACCGTGCAGTTGCCCATGCAGCGTAAGTTTTCTGTCATGAACTGGATGTTATCTTACTCAGTAAGCCATACAGGTGGGTATAAGCAGTAGCAATTTATCACCAACTGGAAAGGCTGTATGAAAGGCAATGAACTCAGAACTACATTATGCGATGGGTGCCTCAGACTCCTTCAGTACCATTCCTGTTACATTGCCTCCTCTCTCTCAGTCTGTCATAGGAAGTAGCTTATGACCAGGTAACAGAAGAAGAAAAAACTCGGTATAGTTTGAAAATAAGTAGGTCTGCAAGAAATGCTGGTACCAACTGAAAGTGGGTGACTAGAGCATTATAGCTCAACTCAGACATGATGCTGAAGGATAGCAGTAAAGGAAACATTTTCCCATTGGCCAAAATTTGTTTGGTTAGATTATCTGGAGTGAGTTTCCAGAATATATATCTACAATGTTTTGAGGGAAGTTGCTAAGACTTTGACTGATGTCAACCAAAGCAAAAAAAAAAAAAAAAAAAACAGTACAGAAGGCTGCAAGTAAGAAAATAATTTATTTGGAGTCTTAAGAATTGCAATTTGGGAGACACAGATCCAGGTAAAACTGAAAACGTGTTCCAGGGAAGAGATAGAGTCAGGGCTTATAAATTGCAAAAACTATGAGGCTCTACTCTGACACAAGAAAGGAAATATTTGTCCTTAAGAGATGGCTGTCCCGTGTTGTTTTGGGGTAAGGGTCTGATAAGCAGATAAGCTACCTTGAGTTATCTTAGTATAAGGGTCCGATGAGTGTCTTGAGTTTCTGGAACATTGTGCAGATGTTCTGGCTGCCTGCCATAAGAAGATAAGTGATCAGAAGGTCAGATTCCATCCTGCTGAGATGTGCATAAGTCCCACTGCCTCAGTGGTCTCCAGGCTCCATTTCAGAGCACTCTCTTAGCATTTTGATTTTCCTTTTGCACTGGACGGTCGGGGACTTGGAAGGAACAGGATTGTAAGAAGGGTAAAAAGGAAGTCTGGGGGAGAAGCAGGTAGATAGATGGGTCACTTGGAGTCGGCACAGTGTGAAGATATTTGTGCCTCATGTGAATACCAAAAAAGGGTATCTTAAGGAGGCCGTTAATAATTAAAAGGACAAAATGAAGCACTCTGAGGATGTCAGTCAACCACTTTCATCAGCCAACCCAATGTTTGCATAATAGCTCATGAATGATGTGTCATGGTGGCAGTGATGCATGAGATCTACAGCACAGTCTTCCTTTTCCTTTACCTGACCTGGCTACCACTACTGATGAGTGTCTAACTTGCTAACAGTAAATGCTATTGAGCCCCTAATATGGCACTGTTCCCAGGGGTACCAGCCAGCCACCTGGTGGGTGATTGATTACACTGATTCATCCTCACTGAGAGAGACAACGTTTCCTGCAGGTGGATCTGTCTTCCCTGCCACAGTGCTTCTGCTAGCACCACATCCATGTGCTCACTGAAGGCCCTGGCCACCATCCGAGTGTTCCATAGAGTATTGCTGCTGATCAAGGGGTTTATATCATAGCAGAGAAAGTGCCAAGGGAATGTGTTACTACCCTAAATTACCTGGGCAAACAAACATAGGGAAAGACATTAAATTTTATGTCTAGAAAGAACTTCTTTTTGTGACTCGCTTTGTCTCCTTAAGCAATTCACTGAACCACTCTGGGGCCAATGTCAATTTATTTATACTCAAAATTAGGTAAATAATGCCTACACTCATGATAAGTGAAATGTGCCTAGCACATAGGTACACAGTAGTTGCTGGCTGAGTAGAGAATGTAAGCTTTTAAACCTTCAGTTTATGATATTGACCATAACAGTGTATTTCCTGTGGGATCAATACGTTACTGATGTCAGATGCCCTCCAGCTTGCTGTCCAAGCCTAGGAAATGCCTCCATCTGACTCATCACTGCTCTGTATTGTTTTCAGCATGTTGTTCAGGTCAGGTGACAGAGGAAACAACATTAGTTCCAAAATCTTAATCCTCTGATTGGCATATAATTTTTTATCCTGGAAAGAATTTTTCATATAATTGGTGCTAGACTGTACTTTGGGACTGGGATGTTGTGATTTATAACAAGAAAAATTTATACTTGGACTTTGACCCCATTCTATTTTAGAGCATAGAGCTCTAAAACCTTGTAATCTCCTGTGATGGGAGCCATAAAGGTGTCTTATGTTGTTAATGGGATGACTAATGGAAAGCCCTCAGGTAACGAATGCTGCCTTGTTGCCGGGGGAACCAACCCTGTAATCAGATAGCTGAAACTTTCAGAATCTCCCGTGCCCCTGCACATAACCTCTGGGAGGGGGAGAGGGGCTGAGGTGCAATCAGTCACCAATGGCCAATGATTTAGTCAGTCATGACTGTGTAATAAAGCCTCCATGAAAACCCAAAAGGATAGGGTTCAGAGATTCTGTGTTGGTGAACTCATGGAGATGCCAGGAGAGTGACGAGCCCTGGCAAGACAGGGAAGTTCCACACGCCTCCCCGCATACCTTGCCCTACACATGTCTTCCATCTGGATGTTCATCTGTGTCCTTTATCATATCCTTTTATTATAAACTGGTAAATGTAAGTAAATGTGTCCTTGAGTTTGAGTTGCTTTAGCTAATTAAATGAATCCAAAGGGGGAGGAGGTCATGGGAACCTCTGTTTTAGAGCCAGTTAGTCAGAAGTACAGTTTACAGCCTGGACTTGAAACTAGCATCCGAAATCCAAGGAGGGGGATCCTTGCAACCTTCAGTGTATAGCCGATTGGTCAGATGCACAGGTGTTAACTTAGGCTTGCGATTGGCCCCTGAGGTAGAGGGTGATCTTGTGAGACTGAGCCCGTAACCTGTGGAACAGATGCTATTTCCTGGTAGATAGTGTCAACACTGTGTTGAATTGTAGGAAACCCAGCTGGTGTCCTAAGCATTTCTTAGTGGTGTGGGGGGAAAGCCACCCCCTACGCACATTGGAATTGGTCTCTGATCCATTTTAGCAACCAAAAGAATAATTAAACCACTCCTTTGCAAGCTAAATTCAGATATTCTCTGCTAGAGTTCTCTTTGGACCTAGATGTAAATATTTCAAATAAATACTGAATACATATATGTGTGTATAGGTGTATATGTATTTATATATAATTAATACATATTTGATCAATTATGTATTGATATATATTTGATCAATTGATAATATAATTGATAATTATAATTAATAATGTTATGTATGTGCATATTTAAACATATTATATGTAATATATAGTTGATATAATTATATGAATATCAATATAAGTATATGAAATCTCAAAGTACACAGTCAAACGTACTACTATATGTGGACCTTTGGGGGCCTTAATGGCCTAGACTGGTAGCCGTTTTATACTGATCAAGTATATTTTGGCTTCTGACATTTCCCTTGGTAATGGGGAGACATTCTGTGCCTCTTACAGCTAGAGATGAAAGCAAAAATACAGAAACTCTCAATATACATGTTCTATTCATAAGGACCATAGAGACAAAAAAGCTATTATTTAGTAGTAGTGTTTGATACATAGAGCAGACAGAAGGTGTATTTGACATGACATTGGCCCTTTTTTAAAGCACTGATGTCTTTTAGGCAGGTAACATACCCTTAACTTGTGTGCATTAGGCTAAATCTTTTAATAATTATTGATACAAATGTAAGCAAATTTGAGTTTCATGAATTTTTTCCCCTCATCTAAATGTCTGAAGTACTTTTCAAGTATGTATCCTTTAATAATTTTTCAGGGGAGTACAAAACAGGAATAAGTATAAATATGTATACTGATAAATAAGTATAATATATAAATATAAATAAGTATACAGTAAGTATAAATATGTATAATTAAGTTGAACTCTACAGAGCGTAAATTAATTAAAATTATTTTAAAGTAGTTTGGCAAACTGGTAACTATAACAAATGATAATTTAAAAATAAAATGTTATTAACAAACCATAATTTTTAATAATATCAAATTTGTTCATATTTATTTAAAATCATATTTTATATAAAAATGAGAAAATCATTCTTAGGAGGTGTCTTTGCTACTTACCACAAATATTTCAAGGTTTGGTGATCTACCGTAAGTACTGTGCTTCAGATATTTTCACCAACAGAAAAAGCTTTAGACTTGAATTTGGAGATTTATTTCTAATTCCAGGGTTACAGGGACACTTGGACAAATAACAATCTTCCTGGACTTCTTCATTCTTATTTAAAAGCTGAAGGAGTTATATTAAACGAGTTTGAAAGACCCATTTAGCTCTAAAAATGAAAATTATCTGATAAAAAAGTATTTCGGAGTTATGTAGCTCAAGCTAGGAAAAATCGTTCTTAGGAAAATATTGTTTGCATATCTGAATCAACTACTTGCTTGTAAATTTCACTAGTGCAAGATTGTGACATATTTATCTAAGTATGCCAGTGATAAACACGATATTTTATATATATCCGGTGTTCAGTAACTGTGGAATAAATAATTAATGTCATTGCAGGAAAATTAAAACCAGAAAATAATGTTTTTGTTGTGCCTGTCTAAAAGCCTAATCTTTTTATTTAAAAAGGAAACCTAGGTGAAAACACACACACACACACACACACACACACACACACACACACACACACACACACACACATTTTGTTAAGACAGGATAATGTGAAAAGTTTCAGATGGCAATTGTTAAGTGAAATCATAAAGGCTGTGACATTATAAGTGGTGCAAACATTCAATTAAAACTATAAAACCCAAAATTATAAGATCATGTGTAATATATTTAAAGTAGCAATGTCTTCTAGCTTAATGAAGATTCTTCTTATATTATTAATGAGCTAGACCTTTAGAACCACTTGGCAAGACAGTTTTATTGCTTGCTAATTAGGCTCCACATTTTAAAGACACACTTTCTTATAAAATAGAAAAACTCAACTTTTCAGGTATTTGAAAAACAAAGCTAAGTATTTGCCCATTTAGTTATCTTTTTATCCTCCCCACTGCAAGCTAGTTTTCTTGCAATTTACAGATAATGCTGAAAATCAATTTTACCCAAATGTTTTCTTATAAAAAAGCTTTAATTTGGGCCTTTTGTTATGAATGTACATAGTCACTTTTCTTAATACTTCAGTGCTACTGAAATTATGTAATATACTTCCTGTTCTGTTGGAGAATTGAAACACTAAACATTATATATTTTTGCAGGAAAATATGTCCCATGGTTTTAGGATCAATTTTGATTGGATACCTAATACCAGTTAGGATTTGGTATTGCTGTCTTTCAGGCCCCATTTCCCATTATCGTGATTTGAAAGGTCTCTTCTCTCAGAGAACAATGGCATCTATTACATGTGGGTCTTCCCTGCTAACTTTAACCAAGTTGACTTATCAGCAGGTATTTCTACATTTTCCTGTCTCACTGAAGTCACTGACTCTCTGATGGACTTGACAAGAGAACTTGGTATTATTTGGAAACAATCCCATTATGTATGCCAAGCAAACTACTCTTCTCTCAAACCTTCTAAATTTCAATGACTTAAAAAATAGCCTGAAACCTGAATGTGTTCAAAATTTTTATGGATTTATTTTGATGGTATTTTGTCAAAAATTAAAAAAGGTTTTGTAAAATAAAAGCCGCTAAGTATTTGTTGGAAGATAATTATCCACAGATCTCTCTTGTTTCTACCCGGTTTATGAGCAAGGCACTAACTGCCTTTAATTATGGATTATTTTTTCAAGGATGTTTAGCTAATAGCCCTGGAAATCAGAAGTAGTGTCTCTCCCTCTGGAGCAATGGGTAGGCATGCTTACTGTCTAATGCAGTCGAGTTAATGACAATGTCTTCCTCTTACTACTATAAAAATTTGGTTTACCTAAGCTCCGGATTTCTTTCTTATAGCACAACCCACTGTGTGTGCAGATACCACCTAGTCTCCCTCGCGTACCCTGGGAGAAATTGGAACTTGCAAAATTGGTGGAAAAAATCATGTTACTCTTGCTACTGAATAATAAAAGTTACTTCATCTCTGACTCAGGAAACCCGTGTCTTCTCCTAGAATCCACAAAAGTGTGGCAGCATAACCCACAGTTCAGTTGCACTGCCAGATTGATATCAGGGGAATCAAGAGACAATCAGTCAATTTGATACCCAAAATTATCCATTTGGAGCTGGATCTGTGGTTGAAAGTTTTACTCTCTTTTAGATTGCATGCAACATATTTGTACGAAGTTTCTTCATTATTTCCAACTAAATGTGGAAAATGTCTACAATCAAAAATTTTTAAACCTTCTAAGGCAGAACTAGAATCGGTGATGAGCAGGTGAGGCCAGGAGGCACCACTAGATGAGAGAGACACAGAATTAGGAAGTAGAGACTAGTACAAAACAGACTTTGCCGGCATGACATTTTGCCTGTCTCCACAGAGAGCTTGGAGTCAAAGCCCATAGGAAAATGAATTTTCAGAAATAGCTAATACCAACTTCAGAATTTCTTGACTTAACAAATTTTGGTTGTTTTTGTTTGTTTGTTTTTGCTTCTGTAGAATTCAAGTGACATGAAACTATCATTGATTGCAGGTAGATGTGGTCAGCAACTTGATTGGGATCAGCTCATGGATTGCTTTGTGGTTCAGAAGTTCTGGAAATGGATGCAGAGGAAATGTCAGACCACAGGTACAAATAAAAAATAAAAGCAACATCTATTAAGGACAAACAAATAAAATAAATTGAAAGATGTTACCACTGCAATTTGCAGCGCCTATAAAAGTAAACTGTTGAATCTGTCTCTAAGATGGAAGCCACCAAAGGCTGATCTTTTATAGGAATGAGCAGGAGACATTTTTTATGGATGTCATTGTGACTTATACTTGCATCCATTTTTACCTGAGAATAATGTTGAGAGAAAGAAATTATGTATGAGACTAGAAACATTTAAATTTCTGGTAGAGGTTTCTATAAAGCAGATTTCATAAAGTATAATGGAACAGGATTTGTTATAATATTCTGTAGTAAAAAATCAAATTTTGCTGCCTTTACCTTGGCTAAATACAGTTGGATTTTCGATCACAGAGAGACATTATAAAGTCTAATTTGCAAGAGGCTTGAGATAATGAATTGAGAAACGGAAAGAAAACTGTGGGGCTACTGACATTTTTTCTTAGCTCTACCACCTTACCTCCAATGTCTCTGCTTAATAAGAAGTGATTTTTAACAAATGCAATGCGGGACTTCCCTGGTGGTGCAATGGTTAAGAATCATCCTGCCAATGCAGGGACACGGGTTCAAGCCCTGGTCCCAGTTCTTAAGAATTTAGCAATAAATTAAGTTCTTATTCTCTTAAGCTGAACAAGAAATCTAGCATTTTTTTTTTTCCTGCAGGTAGTGGAATGATGATTCATATATAGCAAGTCATCAGGCCAAAGCACATGTCCTCCTAAATGGAAATCAATTCTGATAACAAAGTCATGTCAGTTTATCCAGAAAGATCCCCTTAGAAGGTATCAATCACAACATCTCATCTTTATAGAAAACTTTAATATTTCTTTGAGTTTATATTCTTCATATATAACCTCTAGAGCCCATGAGCCACAACTACTGAAGCCTGCACACCTAGAGCCCGTGCTCCACAACAAGAGAAGCCACCACAATGAGAAGGCTGCGCACTGCAACAAAGAGTAGCCCCCGCTCACCGCAACTAGAGAAAGCCCCCTTGCAGCAATCAAGACCCAACACAGCCATAAATAAATAAGTAAGTAAGTAAATTTTTTAAAAAGAGCTTTAAAGTATGCAATGCAGGAGATTGGCTGTTTCACCTGATTCTTGGTGATAACCACCTTTTCCTTCCTTTTTTTTTGATCAAGTGTAATTTTTTGTTATGCTTTTACCTCCGCATGCCAAATTTCTAATTTAGTAAATTAAATATGTTCTCATCCACAATTTCCTGATTCCAACCCTGTACAAAAAAAAAAGGAAAAAAAAGTAAAAGAAGAAGAAAGAAAAAAGCAAAGAAAAATCTGCCAAGATAGAATTAAGAAGGAGAGATGTTGGTCAAATTATGGATTCTGCTATCTCTAATCTGCTAAGTCTCTCTAGTGAATATTTTATTTCAAACGTATTTTTCATTTTTAGACTTTCCATTTTGTCTTTTAAAAATGATTTTTATTTAACTAAAGATATTTTATATCTTTTGATTCATCACAAGCCTTTATATTTTTTACATCTTTGGGAATGGTTATAGTAGCTATTTTAAAATCCTGTTAATTCCAATATATGATTCACTCAGACCATTGATTTTTATTTTCTGTATATCATTTTATTGATTTGTCAGCTGTCAACTAATCTTGAATTGCATGTTGGATATTATGATACTTAAGTTACGAGGGCACTGGATTCTGTTATTTTTCTGTGATGAATGCTATTTCATTTGACTTATCAGGCAATTATATGATTAGACTTAAACTGTAAGCTCTGCTTTTCAGATAGCAGCTCTGATCTGAGTTTAGATCTGTTGTTAGCTGGTGGCTTTGAGTTCACTCTGGACGTTTATTATTCTGGGGTCACTCATAGATTTAGGTAGATCAAATTTGGTGACCACAGTCTGGCGCTTTCCCTTTGGGGGTTACTCTTTCTCGAATGCCCTTGTTTTCCTGGATTTATTCTTCTGGAACCCCAGTCAAGAATGACAGTATTTTTCCACCAATGCTCTCATTAGCCCACATGCCTGGAAAAAAAAGTTGTGAATGCACAACATGGAACTTCTCTCCTTTATTTATGTGCTCCTTACCAGAATTGTCCGCGATTCATTTAACTCTGCTGTGTGATGAGGAAGCTATCTTTTTATAATGACCAGGACTTAATAGCTGTTATTTGAAAGGTCTTTCCAGTAGGATCTTAACCATAATCAGAAGTGAAACTTCTAGATATTTTAATATAACCTGTTTTGTTACCAGTATGTTAAAATTATTCTGTACTTTCTATTTTGATTTTCTATTTTACTCAAGATTTTTTAATAATTACATTTACCCTTTTAAGTAATTAAATTAGTCCTTCCTTTATCTTCCTACTTCCTTTTGATAACATCTAGTTTATTGTTCTGTTGTCAGAGAATACATTATGTACTATTCTACTTTTTGGAGCTTGTCCATGTGTTTATGATATCAGATCAATTTCTTAAATTTTCACAATAATTGAAAAGAAGTTAATTTTTCTTATTAGTATACATAGGTTGATATATATCATAGGTATACCTAGGTTGATATATATTATTTATTATGTTTGTCTCTCAAAATCCTTATATTTTGGTTACTCAATCTCTTCTGACAGATGTAACTGAATATTTTCATTTTACATAATATTTCTGTAGATTTCTATTATATTTTCTCATTGTTTCTATTTAAATATTCTCATTGATACATCATCTGTCATGTACATTTATGACAGATATCAAATATATTATTATTTTTAATATAACATTTGGAAATTGCCTGAAGTCCACTTTGGGTGCCTGGAAACTGCTGGGTGGCAGTGCTGTTTAAGAAGGGCTACCTGAGCCTGGTCCAGAATCCATGGGAGCCTGTAGTTCTGGTTTCTCCCTTGTGGCTCTTTCTTTCTCTCTTACCTTCTATCCCAGGCATGGGGTCCACTAGATACCCTGAGCAGCTCTTAGCTCTGCATTTATGGCATTATTTTGGTCTTCCCATTTCCAGAAGGGCTCCCAGGCAAATGTGTCTCTCCCACTAGGCAGGACAATGTTTATTTCCTGGGGCATATGAGACTGGGCCACCAGAATGGTTCTGGCTTCTAGATTTGGGGTGACTCAAATTATGCATGTAGACAAGGGTACCAAGAAAGATGTTTGCCAGGTGCCCCAGGCACCCTAGGGGGCATCCAGCTCTTAAGCCCCTTGATTAACTGTCAATTGTATTGTCTTGAACATGAAGAGCATAAAAAATAGAAGGGAAAGAGAAAGGCAGTCTTTGACAATAAAACTTGCAATACAAAACTACTTTTGTTCTTAAGAATTTAGCAATAAATTAAGTTCTTATTCTCTTAAGCTGAACAAGAAACTAGCATTTTTTTTTTCCTGCAGGTAATGGAATGATGATTCATATATAGCAAGTCATCAGGCCAAAGCGCATGTCCTCCTAAATGGAAATCAATTCTGATAACAAAGTCATGTCAGTTTATCCAGAAAGATCCCCATAGAAGGTATCAATCACAACATCTCATCTTTATAGAAAACTTTAATATTTCTTTGAGTTTATATTCTTCATATATAACCTTGTTTATGCGATTTTGCCCAATAGAGGTTTCCAAATGGATGAATTGTGAAGGATGAAACACATTATCAGAATGCACTGTACATTTTCCCTGTGATAAATATATATATATATATATATATATATATATATATATATATATATAT